GGGGTGGAGGTTAAATTACAACAACATCTAAATTCAAAAAAATACAATGTGTCTACATTACAAATTTGAAAGCTCTATCTCTAAAGGTGTGGGATATATATATATATATATAATTAAAGAGAGATCGACGCGTTCAAACATACGGACGGACAGGGCTATAGCGACTTAGCTCGTCGTCCGGATCAAGAATATATACACTTGATGGGGTCTGTCACGCCTCCTTGTTCTTGTTACATACTTTTCCCAAAAGCATTATACCCCAATTTCCCATTTTCAATGGGGTCAGAGTATAATAAAAAGACAAGCCCATCTAAATTTACTATCTGATTAACACATTTTATATTCAATAGATTAAAACCTTGTATAAAAGATTAGATTTAGTCAGATTCGGGCTTTGTGCAATGTCCGAATATGAGGTTGTATAAGCTTTTGATATTGAAGCTTGAAATTTCATTAATTTTTTGAAGGCTTTCTTAGTAAAATGTCAAATTGTATTATATTAAATAATTCGCTGGTCTAAATTGCATTTGCATTTATGTATATATATATAATATTTTTTGTACTGAAATGCAATTTAGACCTGTGAATATATATACAAATATATATATTCATATATATTTATGTTTCTTTAAATGAGCATTACCTAAACTCTTTGTGCTTTCGTTTTTCTTGTCAGCGTCCTTTTTATGGTTTATTGTATTAAGCTCAGGTTTGAAAGATTCCGTCTTATTTGATTCGATTTCTCCACCAGGCATTGCAATATTTCGCTCTAGTAAGTTGTTTACAGTATTCTGCGCAGTATTCTCGTTTTTCGATGATATGTTAATAGCTGGATCTACCTCTGACTGAGTTAATGAATTTTTATCTATAGAAACATCTTTATTTCTCAACATCCCGGTGTCCATTCCTGTTAAATTTTGTTGTATATCTTCAGGCTGCTCTAAAGGTATTGAATCATCCATTTCATTTCTTGTTCTTAAATAGATCTCATCTAAGCCTTCTTCTTGCACCACTTTTGGTATTATGTTAGTATTCGTTTGCCCAGGTTTATTCAAATCTTCATTAGAACTGGGTGGATTGGTTTCTGTATCTGATACTTCATTATTTTGAACAGAACTATCAACTATTTTAGTTATTTTCCCAGTCATGATATTATCAGGGACAGTAATATGCTCATCGTCTGTGGTCGGTGCTGGTAAATAATCATTTTGAATAATATTTTTTTCTGCTGACATAGTCACAGAACTTGATGCTTCAACAATATCATCTACTGTTTTTTTAAAAGGCCTATTATCACCGTTATCGACCTCCGAAGGTTTCCGGAACTCAATTATGGTTAAGTCTTCTGCACTTGTAGTGCTCTCAGTGATACTTTGACTTTCTATTATATTTAAGTCTGAACTTTCCGTTATATTTTCATCAAGTTGTGTTCCATCAGGGGTTTCAAGTAAAACAATTTTACTTGGCGGCACGATGGTTAACTCATAATCTTCTTCGGTAGGAAGAACACTATGAATAATAATTGATGTTCCAAGATCGTCAAATAATTTGTCATTGGATTCAGAATTAGATAAAGTATCCGCGATATCCGATGCTGTAAAGATGCCAATGGTGTACATTAGATATAACAACTAAAGGTGCTATAGCACTACAGGAGTATTTGACTAGGAGATACTCTGCACCCTGTGCTACTATTTGAATCTTTTATGCAATAAATATGTAAATCAAAATACAAATTCCTGCTTTAATAACAATTTTTCCAGTCACATTAAAATATTATTTTCAAGCAGAGCCCGTTTTCCTGAAATTTCAAATTTTCTTATACGAAATGTAAAATATTTATAAATTATGTGTTCATAGTAGGATCTAGGAACTAGGAAATTAGTATCTTATATATAAACAAGTAAGAAGACTCTAGTCGAGTCTGCTCGACTAGGAGATACCCTGAACCCTCCAGTCTGATATTC